TGAACCAAATACCGTGAAAACATTTTCTTCATCTTCAGTGACAAATTTCCTTGTAATGGATTTTTTTATAATTGACACTCCCGCTTTCCTCAAATTGGTGTAATAAGCGCTTAAAAACTGTTGTCTTAGGATGATTTATTTCAGGAAACTTTTGAGCGTAAACTCGAGAAGCCAATAAACAATTTCTTAACACACTTACTTTGCTCAGCGAATCCGAAAATGCAATAATATACAGGACATTCCATTTAAAAAAACGCAACTTTGATACCTTTAGGGCTTTTGGGACACCCTGTATATTTCGAAAACATTTTTAAAATGTGCGCTCGGTAGGCGTCGGACAATTCATAAAATAATACTTTTTAAAAATCAAACGGTTTAGCCGCAAACTTCCGTGCCGTATAGCGTGAATAACCCTGTACAGTGATTTTTCAAATATGACAGAGTTCGGCTTTCGCGGCCGAAACGAATTTGCCCCAAGACGTTTCGCATGCAGAAGTGGGCTGCGTCTTCAGTTTCAGAGAAATCTTCAAAATAATTCGTTTTGTGGTGGTTTGCTCGGAGCAGCAACCACCGTATGCAACTGAAGATGCGGGCCGCTCGTGCTTGCGAAACATCAGGGAGATATTTTTTTCCAGCACGGCTTAAAAGCCCAAAAAACTCGATTTTACTCTTAAACGTAAATTCCCAGTGCGCTGTTGGTTTCATCAGCTTTCTTTAGAATCATCAAGAAAATGCGCCTTAATTAAACACAAATTTAATCAAAATAATTATTCCTTTAATTACTTGTTAAAAACGCCCTAATTATGCATTTTTACGTAATCAAGTTCCGCAATTTTCGTTAATCTAGGAGCATTTTCTCGTTAGTACTTATTGCATGTGCCTGTTTGTAGTACATATTAACTTTCTTTAGCAAGCATTTCTGCGTTTTCTATTATTTTATTCATATTTTCATCATCTGTGTTCACACTGCATTATTTAGCAACCCAAGCACTCTCGCTCTATTGTAATTACCTAAAATAAATATAGTCAGTCGTAAAAACTTCATAAAAATTATTGGTTATTTTGATTTATTTTCCTGACTGCGTGTAATTGTTATTACATTTTTCCTTTCCTGGGTTTCAGTAAAAATTTTCATATAACGTTTCGGCGAGACAATAGCGACATCATCAGATTTAAAATTCAACACAAACCCATAATTGGGAAACATTAGATTATTTTTCTCTTTCTTTCTTTTAAATCTGATGATGGCGCTGTTGTCTCGCCGAAACGTTATATGAAAATTTTTAGTGAAACCCAGGAAAGAAAAAATATAATAATTATTGGTAATATCAAGAAAATCACAACTTTTGTGAACTAGAATTTCTTTATTTGCTGGTTTATTGCGACTGTAAAATTTTTGTTTTGAGCTTTTCGCTGTTTTAAGGAGCATGAGTGAACGTAGCGTTGAGTACAACTTAGACGAGCGACACAAAACACAAATTAGTAAAAAGTATCGTTTCTTTATTACAATTGAGTATAGAAAATACAAAAAAATATATCAAAAGCACCACTGCACAAATGATTTTTGTTCACAACCATTTGCTTCCGTGCACATTCATCCACATTCAAACCATTGTTGGCTTATTGCTATTGACTTGAGAGAGATTTGCGTGTTTTTAACAATTCACTAACATTGTTTTTAAACCATTTTAACAGTGTATATCCAGGGTCACTGAGGAAACCGCTGGACGTAAAAATTGCGATTAATCAGTGACCACGAGAAAATCTTCAAAACGGTTTTAAACTTTCGAGTTTTAGTGCAAAAGAGCGCAATTGAAGAGCGAAAAATTGAACCTCAATTTCTTCATTGGAAATACTTAATCGTTTAAACTGCTGTATTTTTGAAACGCCTTATGCGATTTTAACGAACTTGATGCTGTTTGAAAGTACTTTTAACCGCTGAAACCAAATATAACACAAAATTGCTGATGGGTGCAGTTTTTCAGGTGTACCTCGTGAACCCACTTTACGCGTAAAAAACCGCAATTTGGCTCAAAAAATGTTGCTTCATTTGCATCCTAAACAGTGTTCATGATCCCTTTACTTGATTCTTCCGTTGAAAGTTTTGCGTGAAATTGCCTCTAAAGACTGAACAATTCGGAGAAAACACGCAAATCTTTGCCCAGTCAGTTGCCTGGTTTTTTACACGATTGTGTAAAGGCAAGTTCGTAGCAGCAGTTAAACGGGTTCAAAGTTCATTCTTGCGCAAAACTACCAGCTTGTTTGGTTCCCTTCTCAACTACTCCTTTGGAAAATTACGCATAAAAAGTTGTGCACCTACGAATAAGCGACGAGTTTGCTTCAAAGAGTACGACGAAAGTGCACACTAAATAGTGTGAGTGTGAACACAGTTTTCTCAACTAGTGCCGAATTGAGGGTTTGTGCAATTTCGACTCTTTTCATCCTCAGGGTTTGCACGGTGTGGACGGTGAGGTGTTTCTCTCGTTGCCTGCAGTGTTGGGAGCGCGTGGAATCTCGCATGCAGTCACGCAGAATTTGGGCGAAGACGAAAAGGAGGAGCTCCAAAAATCGGCGAAATTAATGGAAGAAGTCCAAAAGGGACTGACTTTTTAATTTATCACGACTAGGATTTTAAACTAATACATATCTACAACTCTTTCGCTTTTCACTCGTTTCAAGACTGTATTTTATTTTTTTATCTGTCTTATAGCATTTATTGGATGTAGTGGAATGTCAGCCATAAATACCTCTACTAGGATTAAGGTGTTATAATTCTTACTACCGCTCATGGAATAAGACTAATTTACTGCATTTATCGCGATGTTTTTCCCATTGGCTTAGGGTTAGGCAACGAGGCCAAGTTATCTCGAATAGAACGTTAGTTGCGAAAATATTAAATTATATTTATTTTCTACACAAAACACTTGCTAATTAAGGCCAAAGTTAGGATACATTTGCTTCTGCTTGTATTATTTAGGTTTTATATTTAAGCTGTGCTTTGTAACTCGGTGATCAACGTTCCTAAACTGTTGTTTGAAAACTTTTTGTAACAGTTTGGAAAAGTGTCTTTGCATTCCTTGTTCTTGCTTCACCCCCAGTGAATTTTATTGTGATCAATCTTAAAGCCTGTATTTATTCATATTTATTAAGCAGATTTTTATATTTTTTAATCTCGTTTTAATCGCCTTTGCCAGTATTTATGGACCTGAATTAACTTTTGCTCTTGCTTGCAAAGCATTGGATTAGATTTATAATGACTGGACTTGAATAAATATTTTAAAATTGTTGTTGGTTTCATTGCGAAATTCCTCCAGGTGTTTGCCAAAGTGTATTTGGTTTGAATTTTTATTAAATTTATTTTCAAGGAAAGGAAAAATGCGAAAAGCATCAATATTTCCGATTTTTTATATTGATTTTTGAATTAATTGAACATTTTTTGTTTGATTTCCTAGACAATCATGTAAAGGAAACTATTAAGTCAATTAAAGTTCTAGGACAGGAAAAATTATTACGAAACATATTGCAAGGAACGACGTAAAACAAACAATTTACATTTAAATCTAGCGCTTTTGGTGTTATTTGCGCGCTTTGGAGCTTCAGGTTTTGTGATTTGTTTTATATTTTATTTTTCGTATATACATAAATAATCGCTTTGTTTTATAGGGCCTTCATCAGGTCGAACAGGATGTGTTTTTGTCAGTACCGGCCGTGCTGGGCGAAAACGGCATTTCCTTGATAGTCAAACAACGACTGACTCCCGAAGAAAATCAGTCGCTTCTGAAATCTGCCTCGGTAATGGCGGAGGTTCAGGAAGGACTGAAGTTTTAAAAATCTCATAACTGATAGGAAAATCCCAAACATACTGATGACACTTGAATGGAATGTAGACCGACACTGTAGAATGTGCGGAATTTCAACAGAATTCCGATAACCGTTTGTAGCTTTTCGTGAGTGATACCAAAACAGCATTTTAAGAAGCTGAGCTTCAAGTGAATCTTGTTTTTGCCTGCATTTATTGGAGAAGCCGGTGTGATTAATTTGGAATCTTATGTATTTACTATCTAGTCGGATTATATGTACTAGTTTGAGCGAAAATAATATTTAGTTTTTGTAAAGTTTGCTGTTACCTAAATATATTTAACATTATTAGTAAAACAATGCGCATGTTTATTTACTTTCTCCTAAAAAGTGCCTAAGAAAACAGGTTGAATATCAAATGCCTCAAAGTTCCATAATAAAGTCCCAAATCGAGATAGCTGAAATTCATCGGTTCGTATCAAAGAAGGCATAATTTACCCATAAAATGCACCACGACCAGTAAAGGTAACGGTTAAAATGTCATTATTGACGATTCCTTTACGATTGGGCTTTTTTAGGCAAAGTGCAGCGCTAGTGAAAACATCGAAGGTTTCCCAGCTAGTGCAGCGAACTTTTGCGACCGAAAACTGCAGCAAAATGGGCACAAAAGATCTTCTGATGAACATCATCAGCGAAACTTGCGATACCAATATCGACAAAGTGACGGTCGTTGGAACGGGAGATGTTGGAATGGCCTGCGTTTTTAGCATTTTAGCTCAGGTAATTAATAATATCTATTTAACATAACAATTTTCTCGTGATCTCTCAAAAAACGCTTAAAATCTGAYAAAAATTTCTATTATTTCGGATGTGAAACTTCTACCATGCTTTTTAATGAGTTCGATGCATTCCACGCGTSCGTGAGCTGAACATGATGTGGAATTTTAGACATTTTGAGAAAATTTYAATTTTTTCGAAAAATCGACCTTCACCCTTGGAAAAACTTCGACCAAAAATCAAAATTTGGGTGTCAAAAAAAGTGTTTAGGTCAATAATAAGGAAGAAATCGTCAGTTAAAGATAGTGAACGCGCAAAAAACGCTTAAAATGTGCCGAAAATGTCTATTATTTAAGATCTGAAACATGATGTGGAATTTTAGACATTTTGAGAAAATTTTCATTTTTTCGAAAAATCGACCCTCGGAAAAATTTTCACCAAAAATCAAAATTTCACATGCGTGATATATATCACAAATATAYATTTTACAGTGTTTGGGTCAATAATAAGGAAGAARTCGTCGGCTGAACATCGTRAACGGTCAAAAAACGCTTAAAATGTGCCGAAAATGTCGATAAATTCGGATCTGAAACTTCCAGCATGGTTTTTAATGAGTTCATTGCATTCCACGCGTCCGTGAGCTGAACAARATGTGGAATTTTAGACATTTTGAGAAAAGTTTMAYTTCACATGCGTGTTTTTTGAGCTCAATCGATTCCTTTCGACGTAAGAAGGCCACAAATATGCATYTATAAAGTGTTTGGGKCAATAATAAKGAAGAAATCGTCGGTTAAAGATCGTGAACCGTCAAAAACGCTTAAAATGTGCCGAAAATGTCTATTATTTCGCATCTGAAACTCCTACCATGTTTTTTAATGAGTTCAATGCATTCCTCGCGTCCGTGAGCTGAAAATGATGTGAAATTTATGAAGTTTTGAGAAAATTTTCATTTCTTCGAAAAATCGACCCTCACCCTTGGAAAAAATTCGGCCAGAAATCAAAATTTCACATGCGTGTTTTTTGAGTTCAATCGAGTCCTTTCGTTGTAAGAAGGTCACAAATATGCATTTATAAAGTGTTTGGGTTAATAATAAGGAAGAAATCGTCGGTTAAAGATCGTGAACGCGCAAGAAACGCTTAAAATGTACCGAAAATGTCTATTATTTCGGATCTGAAACTTCTACCATGTTTTTTAATGACTTCGATGCATTCTTCGCGTCCGTGAGCTGAAAATGATGTAAAATTTAAGACATTTTGAGAAAATTTTCATTTTTTCAAAAAATCGACCCTTTGAAGAATTTCGGCAAAAAATCAAAATTTCATATGTATGTTTTTTGAGCTCAATCGATTCCTTTCGACGTAAGAAGCTCAGAAATTTGCATTTATAAAGTGTTTGGGTCAATAATAAGAACGAAAAAAGGTCGGCTAAAGATCGTGAACACTCAAAAACGCTTAAAATGTGGAAGATTATACCATCAAAAGTGGTCATCCCAACAATATTTATTGACTGGTCAAATTTCAGGGCGTTTCTAGCGATGTGGCCATGGTTGATTTGAACGAGAACAAAATGATGGGCGAATTAATGGATCTGGAACACGGCCGGCTTTTCCTCAACGCTAAAATCAGCGCTGGGAAAGGAAACGATTATTCTGTAACGGCTGGATCGAAAGTGTGCGTCATAACTGCAGGTAACATTATAGGATGGTCAGTGAACACCCTGTAGGGTAAGGTAGCCCATATTGAACCAATTTTTCAAAAACCACCCTAGTGAAAATTGTAAAATTGAAAAAGTATGCATATTTTTGCACAAGCTTCAAATTGGGAAACGGATTAACTGTCGAAGCAAAAGGGGTTTTGGCTTCCCACCGGGAAAACCTTCTTCCTTATTGAATGCCCCGCGAAAACCCCCACTTCAACCTTACCGTACATTTAGGAATGTTTTCCGGGCTTTGAAGCCGTGGTCTATGGAAATTTCTTCCTGACGTTTCGTCCACAACTGCGATGGACATTATCAAAGGCGATGAGGCAGTGGGCGATGTGATCTCCCGTGCTT